AAACACCAGCAAAGTCCAGTAGCGATGCATTGATTGATGTGATACTGATGTTGGCCAAGATGACACTTTTGACCCTTAAGTAGTTGTAAAGGGGGGACGGGGACTGGCACTATGCATTCTGCCATCTGGTGCTATCTCTGTGTGTCCTAATTTTTTGTGTCCAATACCTGCCTAAATTCTAAAAATTTTCCCACCATGTGCCTCTCCTAAATTCAAAAATTTTGCCATGCAATGCGACTGTGCCAGTTCTTTTAGGAGGTTAGCATTTTTATATTTTCCCTAACAAATCCCTGATGTCGTATGTCATATTACTACATTTACATAGATGATCTAAAATATGGAAATTTTTTAATCCAGAATTCGCCGAAATCCTGACTAATTTGATCTCAGATCTTTGTACTGTACTAAAAAAATTTAGGATTTGTTCCCTCTTCTTATACAATTCTAATACCTCAAATCAAATCATCATTGTTACTGTAGTAACTACAATAAGTTATATTCTTAAAAAATGCTTATATGCTTGTTACTGTAGTAAGTTATATGCTTTTTGAGAAGTGATCAAAAAACATTTATGCAGATTTAGTCACAAAGAAGATAATTGCACATGCTCAAACTTGCTGCCTTTTAGCAACAAGTTAGGTGCAATTATTTTCTGTTGAAAGTCATGCTAATTTAAAAACATGCATTTGAGTTTTTGAGTTAAATATGAGCTATTGTAGTAACAATAATGACATAGCAATTCTCATGAACCTACACCGAAGGTTTAACAAAATAGAAAACATTTTTCAAAAAATAGCATAAGAAGATCCATACATATAACTTAAAAAAATACTATTATTACTGGCCATTGAAACTGCATAAATGCTATCAAAGGAAACATAATTAAAAAATGAGTAACAAAATATATAAAAACAAGAAACAATCAAGAAAGCAAAGGCCTAGAAAATGCAAAACATAAGGTTTAAATAATAAATATGTCCATGTCCTTGCACAAAATACATATGCAGTGATGTGCTCTAGAAGTATTAAGTACAGCATTATTTTTCTTCTGAGTATTGTTTATAGGTATAGCATAAAATGTTAATTCATATTTTATAATTAGACAAAGAAAACAACTTTCAATCCAACTATGCGCCAGCTAAAATTTAAGTACTGTCTTTATATATATATATATATATATATATTTAAAATTTCATTTTATTGTTTCAAACAAATTCCAATTCAATGTTTCCACTTACTGCTTAAATCTTTGGAATTTTGAAATAAAAATTAAAAGTACAACACTTTGAGATCATAATTCTGAATTTTGCTCCTAATGATTTACCTGATACTATATGTAATAAAATCCTGGAAAACAAATAATCTTAAAAAAATTTCTTTTGTACAAAAAGAACACCTTACTTTTTATCTATATAAAGATTCAGAATAAGACATCTATTCAAATCTTTTGTTTTCTTACTCCATTTAAAAAAAAAGAGGTAAGAACAACCTATATATAAAATTCATTTTTTAATTTCTATACTTTTTATTTTCATATAAATTTTAAAAAATATGAGAATTAACAAAACTAAATGTAAAAGTGCCAATGAATAAAATCTACGCACTCGTATATAACTAATATCACTTTTTGTTTTATTTATGACTGGAAGACAAAGGTCTACTTCAGATTATTAGTCCTCCAAGCAGCCAAGCCCCATATATATACATTAAAAAATATTAGTCATTATATCATTAAGTACACAGACATGCATCTTGAAATGTATCCAGAAAATTAATGTAGTGTATATATTATTAATGTGGTGTGTGTATATATACCACATTAATATGCATACTATATTATATATATATATATCTTGGAAGAAAAGGATCCAAGATACAAATTGAGAGAATCATTTTGTAATGATAATCAAGAAAAGACCACTTATTCATGGCCTTTTTGGGAATTAGGGGTTTTGTGGCCAAATACTTGGCTGCTCGGAGAGTTAATTTATCCTTCGTTAAGAGGATAAACCAGAGATTCTTTCTTGGCATAGACTAGTTTACTATTTTTCTCATATCAAAATTCAATAGAAAAATTTAAATTAATTAATTCAACATTCTTAACTGATAAGAATACATAATATGTATTTATAGAAAAACGCAAAGCATTACCAACAGCATAAATTATGTTAGTATATACATTTTACAAAGGGAAAATATAATCACTTGATTGAAAGGATTGTCAATAAAGCTTCAAGCTTGATTTACCTTGAGGGTATTAGTGTAATTCATAATATGATTATACAGTGCTTAGTATTACAGAAGCGTATTACAAGATATCTAAATTCAATTACTATTAACCACGAAAATGGCAATTTGTTTACAAATAATCTTTTTAAATATAATTTAGAACTCTTTTCTTGAGAAAGTGAAATTCACTTCTTCTTCCCTTGTCTTTTTATCTGAATAGAATGAATTTTGCTAAAAAATGTAAATTTAAAATACCGTACTAAATTACGTAAATAATGATAAAACTATGCCACAAAAAGAGAAATTCGAAATGCTTATAAATTATTCGATACTTGCATATTTTCCCACTGACCATTTTTAAAAAATAAAAAGTGCTGCTAAACAGTGCGATTTAGCACCAAATAAATCTGATTTTGCAACATATTCGTAAGACATTTGCTTTGGTTTTATGCAACCATTATTAATCTTTAATAAGCCAGTTTTTTCTGTTAATTATCTAAGTAAATAAACAATCTATTCCTCCCAGAATTCTGCTAGTATAAAAAGCACAAGGTTAAGCTTGTAGCTCAAGCTTTTTATGAGGTGTATCCATACTTCCATACATATTTGCTAATTATCTAAATAGTGATGTATTTCTTTGAACTTTCATCTTATGTTCCATGAGATCTCCACTAAATTTCAAGGTCGAAAGAAAGTATGTAAGTAGCAATTATTCAAATGAAATAATAGTAAATTAAAAGATATTCTTTCACAAACTAGTGTGAAAGAATTCCTGATAGTAAAAAAAATTCTAACTATTTTAGTTCTTGCTCGAGTATCTAACCTTGAATAACAAAAATCAAAATGAAATGCATTATCTTTTCTCTTTTGTTAAATCTAAAACTGTGCTTTGAAAAAAAAAATGCTATATTAATATGCACATTAAATTCATCACGTTTATAGGAATTAGAAAAATATGCATTATCACTACAAGTACAATAAAATAATCCAGCAAATTCGACAAACAATTTTACCAACTGCATCTCAAAATATTAAATGAATATGATACTGAATCTGACAACAACAGCATAAAATTAATCACAAATATTAAAATTTACAGCACCATAGATTCATTAAAATTTAATTTATGCAATATATCTGAAAGCTAAATTCTATATACCATTAATGATAATGGAAGATCAAAAAATAAAATAAAAATAAAAAACAGAAACACACACACATATAAAATAACTCAGCACCATGCATTATAAAACTGTATAGTTAAGCAAAAATATGCAAACTATTATGATATTTAACGCTCCTGTAATTCTAAGCTTATAATGAATAAAAACATTATCCATGCTTTTTAATAAAATCACAAGCATAAAATAATAATAAACGTTGGCTACATAAACAAATAAATCACATCAACAAGAAATAATTGCACTATAATTAATCATTAGAAATATAAAATTCTCAACAATAAAAATTTTTGGTGTTAAAAGCTACTAGGTTACGAGATGATTTCCTAATAGCCCAGAAAAACAATATATTTTTGTGAGCACAATATCTAATAAAAATTCTAAAATCAATAACAGATGTACAAATGATCCTAGGAGATTACTATTTAAATTATAAACCAATCAAATTATATACAATCTACCATTATCAGTAATTTAAAATATAAGAAAAAACATAGAGTATTTTAAATATACTATAAGTTTCTTTTCTGACCAATTTAAATATCATAATTGTAGCAGTTAAAAGCTATAAAAGTAAGTTCAAGGGGGGGGGGAAGATTGTCGCTATAGAAGAAAAAATCATTCTTAAAAATAAACATTTTTAATTCAGTAAAGGGGAAGAAATGGAGAAAATGACACTGCAGTAATATCTCGAACATAACAGAAATTAAAGTGTGATATTTATGTATTTGTAATTGATACTTAAATTCTCTGTGTGTTACATAAGACAACATAGTCTATAAATACTTAAAGAACAGTATTTAACAATACTGGATTCAATTAAATTGAACGAGAACTGAAAAAAGTCTATCCTGTGCTTTTTCAGAAATTATGGCATATTACAATGCAACCTCGTAATCTTTAAAAACTGATAAATTTTAAATGTTTGCTGAATACAGTAAAGATATATCTACTTCACATGCAGATTGCATTTTTTCCTTGTAGGCTGTTTACAGAGAAAAAGAAAGAAAAAAATTGTTTATAAAAATTATAAAACTTGCCAAAATGAGAATAGATAATCAGATCATTAAAATACTAATGTCGAAGTGGATAGTTCCTTTGCAAAAGTAATCTCAATTAATGGCACAAATACACACTCATACCACTTAGACTGATATTTCATTATTTGGTACTTTTCCGTTTCACCGGCGCAAATCTCGCCAAGTAGACTTTATTGTCGACAACACACGTATACACATAAAAAATTTTAACATATGTTAGTTCTAAAGTTTCTTTTTATTTTAAATGCATAAACATTTTACTAACATTTAAAATTTTGTAAAAAGACATTGATTTAAGAATTTACTATCCTTTCATGATACAACATCCTTTTCATATCACATGACACCAAGTGATCTCATCTCATCTAAACTACGGTACAAAAGTCTAAGTCTCTCAGTAATTATCTACATTAATTTCAAGTTAAATCTTAAATTAGAAGACAAGTTTAAATGCAAGAATTATTTCAATCCATACGAATAGCTTACTCAGAAATTATGTAAAACCGCAGTGCTTTACTTCACTAGTGTATTCTCATTTGAATTGATGAATTTAAGCTTTTACTTTGCCTTTTATATATTTTTGCCTTTGGGTGAGCGGTGTGATTGCATCCTAATTGACTTAATTACTGCGAATGGCCTTAGGGCATAAAATTGAACTATCTGGTAAAAACTCTAGGTAATCGTATGAGAGTATTGAAAGAAACAATCAATCTGATAAGAAATGGCTGGGACTTGTTTTTTTGAAAATGAGGCATAAAAGGTTACCAGCAAGGATATTCCATTTGGCATGAGTTGTACCATTTTTGGCGACTTTATCACTTGCATCGTCAAAATGGAAAAGTACCCATTATTTATACTGTGCTTTGATGGCAAACATGATTTTCATTTGCAAACAGCTTAGTAAAAAAACCTGACATCTCCTGATATTATACATAATAATATTCAGAACTAGGAAGAGTCTATAACTTCTTTCTGTCACTTAAAAATTGTGCTAAAACATAATAAATTTCTCACTTTTTTTAATGGCTACGAAAAAATGCTATGAATGTAAAATGCACAGACATCTTTATTATTTTAATTAATGTTCATAATTTATTTTTGTTTCTAATTTAGCAATTGAAATTTAACACACTACTATAGAGTACACGGAATTTCATGCTATATAGAATGTTTAGTATTAATCATTTCTGATGCTCACACCAGGTTCTGGACTATATTACCTGCAGAAAAAAGATAATCATGCAAATGCAAAATCCCTGATTAAACGGAATTTACAAAATATTCCAAAAACATATATAATTTGTTTAACAGAAAAATTAGTCCTAGTAAAATGATTGCTTATATCAAAATTAGAATAAATAAAACTAATTAATTTAACATGACAATGCATTTAAATGTGTTAATTAATATATTTATTGCAAATGCTTATGGTACGACTTTTAACTAAATAGGGGACATTCACATGGGAGCTTAAACATCACAGCTTTTCATAATAATAATAATGTCAAAGACTTAAAGTCATCCTTTCCCCCCCCCCATGTATGTCAAACAGAATCAAGGAAAGAAATTAGCAGATGCATGAAGTCTACAGATCATCAACTTGCTTGTTTCATTATGATTAGTAGGTTCTTATGGCATCTTGGTGTATTAAAAAATTTAAAAAGTTAAACAGAATTCTTTTAGTTTCAGTTTCTATAATGTATCGAGATCTAGTTGGCTAGCAACAAAGTTTTGCTTATGCCAGTTTTGACAGTTAAACATAGTGTGAACACTGCCATATTTTGCATATAACAATTTGATTTTTTTTCACAAATAATATGTGAGTAAACAGAGGTCTAATGCAGTAAAAAATGGAATATATGTTTTACAAAAGGCATAAATATTCATACACCAATACTAACAATGAAGGAAATCAGGTTATGAAAATTAATAAGAATATTTTACACTAAACAATTTTTAGAAATATGGTAAATTGGCTCTTAAATCTCCTAGAAACATAAGACATCATAAGATGTTTTACAAAAAGAATTCTGAACACATTTCTAACTCTGAAGTTGTCAAAATGAAAATAATAAAGACATCATGACTCTTTTACTCCCGAGCCATATCCAGCATCCAGATGACTTTTCTTTTTTCCAAGATTTTGATAATTTATCTCAAAATTGGGATCTGTGCTTTTCATAACATTAAATCTATGTTTCAAGAGACTTGCTGCAAATTCATATAACTGAACGTCTAAATGATTCAATTTACGTATCTGTTTAATATCATCTTCACTAATAGCAGTACGTGCAAGACTTCCATGGGTCTCATTCAGCTGATGAAATGGCTGTAAAAAATGGAGATGAAATGTACTTTCAAACAAATATTGAGATATTTTTTGATACTCACAGAGTCCAAAGAAAGCCATCTTTCGTAAGTTCTCCTTTGCACTTGCTAACATAAGCATGTCTCTCTCATGTGGAGGCATAGCTGATGTATTGTAACAGCCAACAAGTGTCAAATCAGCAAGCATTCGAGTTTGCCTATTTATAGCAAGGTTGGAATGACAATTCATAAATTCGTTTAAAGGTACATCTCTCCAGTCTTCCCCAGTAAAACAAGGCGGAAGTTCTTCAATTGTTGGTGGGCGTCCTTCACATAAATGACGAGAAGTTTTCCATGTTGCACCTCGCTGCACATGCCTAAACTCACTCAGAAATCTTGCAACTGGTTCCCGAAGTAGTGTGATGTAAAAGTACCTACAAATCAGAAAAATGAAACTAATAAACTATTAGCAGAGAAAAATATACAACATATAAAAATAATTCTTTGCTTAAAATTTCATTTATATTATTATTTTGAGATGTTGTATTTACAGTCTTGTGCAAATTTAAATGCTTTAAGAATTTTAAATGTGCAATGAAATGTTATGTTAAATGATTTTATATCATGCTAGTACTACAGAAGTAGTGTTACTTAAATAGAAAATATTAATTGCAGTTCATATAATATTTAAAGAATTAGAAAATCAAATACATAATTAATACTTCTGCACTTTTATGAAAAACAACTACAATCCTGTATACCATAACAAATTAACATTACTAACATCCTAGAATGTCTAAGTGGAGCTAATTAATTTATATTGTGATATAAATCTTACTCAAAGATTTGAAGATAGAGATCTGATAAACCTTTTTTGTACTTGACAAAAAAATAAATAGCCTCAGCTATGAATTTTTACAATAAGAATAATAATTTGTTTAGGATTACATTTTATGTGAACAATATTTTTCTGCAGGTAAAAATTACAAGTCTAAAACAAGAACCAGCTGATAAATAAGCATTTATAATTCAAAGTAATTCTAGTTATTCTCCAAAGTTACATACTTTATTGAATTTAAAAAAATCAATGACATGTTATAGCTGAAAGCTCTAATAAGAAATAAATATATTTACAAGTATTTGCATACGAATATGTGCATTTTTTCTGTATAAATCAAAGAAAAATTTAATAAATAAAAGAAAGATAATATGTTGTCATAATTTATTCTCAATATTTGTCCCTCATTTATTTTTAGTCTAAGTACGTTATATAGTAGTTAATTAAATATATTAGAATTATTTGAAATAAATGTCAGTCCAAAAATTTAATATTTACCTACTAATACATTTGAATTACAAAGTGCAACCAACAGAAATTTCTTACTCATTGCAACCTTCAGATTTCAACTAGAAAATAAATATAAATTGAAATTTTCTCGCTTTGCATAATTATTACCATTTATGCATATTTTGATAAATATTTAGTAAATGAAACTTTTTTTAAAAATTTAGCCTGTCAGTTGCTTTTAGATTATGGATTCAGCTTGCATGTAATTTAAGTTTGAGACCACTGACATAATTGACAAATAATATATTTTGCACTTTTGATTTAGATAATTTTCCTATAATAAAATTTATATCACTACAAAGTATGATTTTCCTTCTTGAATGAAACAATTTTAGTCCATTAAAGTTATGACTTTTCATTATGCTGAAATTAGTCTGATTATCACTGTATAGAATTCAAACTAAGTTCCACTGGAATTGAAAAATAAATAGTCTATTAATTCTTTTAATGATTCAAATGGTTCTAATTTTTAGTTTAATAATTTTAAAAAATCATCTTTAAGCTCTATATTCAACAAAATAAATAAATGAAAATATTCATTAAAAAATAATAAAATGCTATGAAGTAAAGTACAATGCAGTCCCAAAAACTCAACCTGGCATGGAACAAGAGAATGTCAAGTTTGACATTTGTCAAATTTTATAGAACAGATGGGTTATTCACAACTCATAATATTTTGTTGAACACCTAAAACTATGGCAATTTTATTAATATGTTTGCCTTTCTCCACCTCAAGGAATTTTATTCATTTCCAATGTCCTGCTTCATTTGTTTTTCTTCTTCATTTACAGAAAGAACACAATGCAACACTTAGCTTGGATATAAACTAGGAAATTTTACCCAGTTTAGCTTACAATAGGGATACAAACAGCTAGCAACAGAAAGAATAAGAGTAGTAATCAAGAAACACAGAAAGTAAGCAAATATTAATCTCTTAAAAACTGCTCCCTCCTTGACTTTTAATATTATCTACAATACTTATTTATATAATATAAACATGAAATATTACCAAATTTCAGAAATAAAAAGCATAAAATTAATAAAGTTCAATAAACTGATAATGTTCACTAAAATTTCCTTACTGCTATGATTAAAAGAAGTGATTAGGGTTCACAATAAAATTGCTCCAATTCAAATCCAAACAATGGACATGATACTTAAAGCTCAAAGATGTGTGTACTCAAAAATGACTTTCATATGAGTCAATAACTGAGAAGGGTGCTGGTTGCCAAGCTCAAGACCATGCAACAGAGTATGAATTTTCTATGTTTCGCTTTCAGAATGCATTGCAATCAATCTTTGTTTTAGGATATATTTTTGG